AGGATAAGGAGAAGATATTATAGATCCTATATCTAGTACTTATGTCTATCTTATAGGCTTTACCTTTATTAACTACCTACTTTACTATAAAGAGGCTAAGGTACTTATTTAATAGCTTCTTAGATAGTCTCTTTTACTTAATAAACTTAGCTAATAAAAGGACCTTCTCTTTAACCTTAAAATCTATATTAGACCTCCTAGTGTTATATTACTTCTTGTAGGCCTAATTAACTGCCTTTAATATCTTATTAATTATAGTTCTCTAGCTTTATAGTTACTTTACTCTCTTGTAGGCCTTAGGGACCTCTGTTAGTTTTACTTTTACTAAGTATATATTATATATACTTTATAGTATATAGCCTATTAGTACTTCTACTAGTGTAACCCTAGTTATACTATACTATAAACTATTATAAATAAATTTAGCTATAGGTAACTATTTTACCTAGTTATTTTACTTAATATTATAAAAGGCTTAGAGGTAGTATTTAATATTCTAGTTTTACCTCTTTATTTATTTATTAGTTTAAAGGTAATAGGCTATACTAAGTTTTTATTTAATAGCTAGCTAGTAATATACTACTACCTAAAAGTAACTTATAAATAAGGAACTATAATCTAATACTATTAAGGTTAAGAGTCTAAAATAAAAGAATACTTTATTTACTAAGAGGGTTACTAGCTAATCTACTGTTAAGGTTTCCTTAGTAGGCAGGTAGATAGTATACTTTATAAGCTTATTAACTATAACTAAGATACTATTATATACTTTACTATTAAATTTCTTTAACTTTAGTAGCTTAGTAATAAAGTCTATAGTAACCTACTCTTATAGTTAGTTAGGTAGTAAAAGGGGAGCTAGTTTTCTATAGGGTAAATAGTGCCTTAGTTTTATATATTAGTAAGTAATATATATATTAATATACTCCTTAATATCTTTTCTTATTAATTTCTAGAAGAATATTTATCTTATATATTTTATTATTTAGGTTACCTCTAGGTGCTTCTCTAATAGTTTATTATAAAATACTATAAGTAACTTTATTTTTATTATATATCCCTCTAGTACTATAAGCCTACCCTAGTATTAAAGTAACTTATTTTTTCCCTTAGCCTAGTAACTCCCTAGTTATTACTACTTTTTAGACTAAATTTACTTATCCTTTAGTTATACTATAGTAACTTTCTCTTCTAGGGTAGTAGTAAGTTCCTCTAGGGCTACTATATCTTAACCTAGTAGTCTACTATACCTAATTACTACTATCCTCTTTTTAAACCTACTAAGGAAGTTTTCTAAAAATATACCTTATACTTTTTTTTCTTTTTTTTTACTAGGCTAGTAGTCTAGCCTTTATAAAAGCTTATTTACTATATTATTTTTACTTAGGTAATATTTAATCTTAAAATTAAATAATAAAAGGTCTTATAGTAACCTAGCTTAGTAGCTATTAAGTTATAGCTTAGCTACTAAGTAGTAGTACCTTAAGTAGTCTATTAGGAATATAATATAGTACTAGGTGTATAAAAGATAGTGCCTTTAATATATAGCTACTTCTTAAATTATAAGTAACTTAGCCTTTAGTGCTCTATAGTATAACTTTACCTTCTAGAGTTTCTATAATATATAAGCTATAAGGCACTAGGCTTTTTTATAAAGCTAGCTTAGTACTACCCTTATTATAAAGTTAGATATATTTATTTTAACTTAAATAGGTAATATAGAGTTAAAATACTATAAGATAAAGGCGTAGATAAATATAGTATAGATCTTATAGAAGGCTTTCTTATCTTTTCTTATAATTACCTACTTCTTTACTACCTTAGTAAATAGTTAGTTAGTAAAAAGAGAATATACTTTAAAATAGTTCTTAATAAACTACCTATAAAAATTTATAAACTCTAGGAAGGTCTATATCTCTTGTATACTAGTAGGCAGTAGCTACTAAGTAATTACTTTTACTTTCTCTTATTTTATTAAAATACCTTTATTAAATACTATAAAACCTAGGAAGCTAATAGACTTAGTATAAAAGAAGTACTTCTTAGGGTTAGTATATAGCCCTATAGTGTCTAACTAGCTTAGTACTATCTTTACTACCTTTATATAGCTCTCTTTATCCTTTATAAAAATTAAGATATTATCTAAATAGATAATATAGATAATATTTACTAGACCTACTAAAGTATTATTAATATAAGATTAAAATATTATAGGTGTATTAACTAGCCTAAAAGGTATAACCTAATACTTATAGTGTCTATAGTAGGTATAGAAGGCTGTCTTTTATTTATCCTTACTATAGATCTTTACCTAGTAGTATATATTTTTAAGGTCTAGCTTTATAAATTATATTACTTTTACTAAATAGTCTAGGATTTCTCTTATTAAGGGTAGTAGTACTTAGTTCTTAATAGTAATCTTATTAAGCCTATAGTAGTTAATATAAAGGTAAAGCTTACTTTTTTTCTTAGGTATAAATAGGATTAGTACTTTTACTAGTAACTTTAAGGGCTATATTTAGCCTTTAGCTAAGGATTTATTAATATACTTTCTTAGCTTCTCTAGCTTCTTTTTTACTAGTAGGTAGATAAAGCTAAACAGTAGTATTATACCTAGTTCTAATTTTATTATATATATCTATATATTATCTTTTACTAGCTTTACTACTAGGTCTATATTAAATATATAGGCCTATTCTCTATATTCTTTTAGTATTATAGCCTTTATACTACTAGCTTTACTAGCCCTCTTGTCTTTCTTTAGTATATAAGTAGGTATTTTTAGTGCTCTCTCTAGTGTCCTATACCCTAGGTGTTAGATTATAGGGGGGTCTATAAGGACTACTTTAGTATCCTTTAGGGCCCTCTTAACTACCTTTTAGCTTTATATAAGTTAAATATAGTCTTTACTTAGTAGATAAGTCTAGCTAATTATTTTTTACTTAAGGTTAAGTCTTACTACTTACCCCTAGGGGATCCTTAGGATAACGTTATATCTCCTTATATTACTTACTTATAAGGTATAGCTCTATATCTTTAATATTCTAATATTATTTTTTACTTTTAATATTATTTTCTTTAAACTATAGTCTAAGGCCTTGCCTTCTTATATACCCTATAGTAGTAGTCCTTCTCTATAGACTACTAGTAGTCTCCTTGTATATAATATCCTCTAGTATATAAGGTTTTTATTTACCCCTAGGTTAATTAATGCCTTCTTTTTTCTTTATATACTACTTATCTTAGTATAAAAGTCTACCTTAAATTAGTAGTATAGCTTTTTCTCCTAGGGTAATTAGATAGTGTTAACCTTTATTACCTCTATTATATACTATTTACCTAAGTGTCTAAGTTAACTATACCTATAGTACTTCTCTTTAGTATAGCTAGCTAATAAATACCTTAGCTTACTATAGTTAAAGTAAGTTAAGAAGTACTATAGCTTAGTTAGAAGTAAATAGTTACTTTTCTCTTTTTTTACCTTTAAGGCCTTTAGCGTTAGTGTTAATATACCCTAGATTATTATAGGTATAAATATAGAGTATATAAACTAAGGCTTTATTATAAGGACCCTTATATTAAGACTTAGTAGTATAGCTAAGGCCTACTAGTCCTTTTACTCTTAATTTTACTTTTACTAGTCTATTAGTTTATCCTTAGCGTAGGCTTTAGCTAGTATCTTAGCCTATTATATAGTATTATTAAGGGCTTATTATATCTTTAGTATCCCTTAGGCTAATATATAGCTCTTTAGATTAAGTAGTAACTAGTTAAGTATATAGACTACTTATTACCTTTTAGCTTATAAGTTAAAGTATTTTACTTTAATAGTCTTATACTTATTAATAAATTACTAGTATAACTAGCTAACCTTTTACTTTATATTATTAAGCTTTACTACTATACTAAAGGCCTATATATTAGTATTAGTAATATTATTCTTTAACTAGGTCTCTATTACCTCTTAGGTTATTTTCTTTATTTAGCTATTATAGTAGGCTTTAATATACTTTTACTACTTATACACTAGGTTACCCTCTAGTGTAAAGCTAGTATACTATACCTTACTTTAGTTATTCTTAAATTTTTTCTTTATAACTTTAAACTATCTTTTTAGCTTAAATAAAAAGTCCTAGAGGTTATTTTATATACTCTCTTTATATTAGATTAAAGGTAACTACTTTAATAGTATATTAATATAGTAGTACTTATACTTTAGCTAAAAAGTAGTAGCTAGGCCTAGTGTATTATATACTTCTTTAATAAAGGCCTTATCTATTAAAGCTAGAATTTAGTTAACTATTTTTTTTTTTTTAGCTTTTTTTACTTACTTCTCTAGGAGGTACCTAAGCTCCTTTTTTATTATCTCTTTAAGGTTACTCTAGAGCTATTATTATACTAGTAGGCCCTTGTTCTCTACCTACGCTTAAGCGTTACTACTGTCTAGGGTTAGTTGCCTAGAGGTAACGCTTATGCCTTACTAAGTAATAGCTTAGGTGTTAAAGGGTAATATTATAGCTTTAATAGTTAGTATACCTAAGGATAAGTAAAGATTAGAATATATTAAAGGTATTATAGTACTAAGTAAAAAAGTCTATAAATAGTATAGTTAGAGGTTAATTATAACTATTTTCTAATTTACCTTCTCCTAATTCTCCTGTTCCTATAAACTCTGCTTTTATGTAACCCTTAGATAATAGTTTTCCTAGTTGTGGCCCTATAGCTGGTGGTCCCCTGGTGCCCTCTACCTCTGGCACCTGACAGAATAGAGCAGTAAGACTGGCACTATTAACTGCACTAGTGACTAAGTATAAATAGTCTTTGAAGATACAGGGTCGGTAGTTGCGGAGGAAGAACTGGACAAAAAAGCCAGCAGTAAGTTGACTGAAGATTACGCAAGTTTGCGAGGCATTGTAAGGAATGTAGCCTGCGTATTGGATGAGCTGGGGCATGTTGGGATCCGCCAGAGAATATCCGCGGATTTTAGGAACGAACTAGTACTAAGGCCAACAGCCGTAATAGGTTGGAAAGATATTGAGTTTACCCACATATGCGATGATACGATGGACGATGACAATACCAAAACCGATACCTAGGCCAATGGGCACAAGTGAGTATTTGCCGCCAGTCTTGTAAAGATACTTGGCAAGTGCCCAAGAAGTGGCATTGGTGTTATATGACTGCATATAAGCACCACTCCAAGAGCTGTCACCGTTGCTGTTCGCAAGGAGCTCACGATTTCCATTGATTATGGAAATCATGACAGCATAGTTGATGAATCCACCTAGAATTGTCCCGTACACCTGCGTCAGGAACATGACTCTAGGAGGGATTTTCACTGGAATTGACTGTCAGCAAGTAAGACTCGAAGCTGTTGCCCTACAAGCAGACATACAATATTCTCCCATCTTCAGATCGTTAGAGAGATTGACAGCGTTCGAGATAACGTTGTGTGACCAAGCAGCGAAATACATGTTGCCAATAACTCAAATACCCTGTATATGCACCACCCCCACATCTGCACCACTAGCACCACCACTTTCTTCCTACTTTTACTACCTATATTACTAGGCCTCTAGATAAACAACTTGTATATAGTGTAATATAAAGTAAGAAAATTCTTTTTATAACTTTCTTAGCTTACTAAGCTTTTTATATAAGTAATAAATAAGGTTAATTCTTAAAATAAAGGTATTTATAAAAAAATAAAAAAATAAAATAGTATAATTAGCTAGAAAATTAAATAAAAATATAGTAAAATACTAAAGTAGTTATACTACTATAAAAGTGTTTTACTAAGCTTATAAAGACTAAGTAATAGTCTATATATATACTAGTAACTTTAGTATTATAATAAAACTACTATACTTTTAAGTATTTACTAGTTTTTTATACTATATACTATAAATATAAGTTAGTAAAATACTTTATAAAAGCCTAGTTAAGAAGTAGTATAGTATAGTATAAGTCTTAAGTAGTATAACTTATAATATTATTATTAAAAGATTTTTTAAAAGTAAAATATAACTATTACTACTTTAACTTAGTATTATAGTTCTAATATTATATAGTATAGTAAACCTTTTATATACTAAGTAGTATATAGATACTATAGTATATAGTATAAGTAAAAGAAAATTTATTTTTTATATATAACTAAATATTCTAAAAAATATATTTTTTTAGTTTTATATTCTATATAAAAAGTAAGTAAATCTATATATAGTAGCTATATATACTATATATAGTACTTTTATATATATATTAGCTATAATAAAGCTTATACTATTTCTTATAGATTTTTAGTTTTACTATAGAAGTATTTATTAAGATCTCTAGAGTTTTAGAAAATACTAAGATTTTCTTAGTAAAAAAGAATCCTTAAGTATTTACTACTAGTACTTAGCTATATAAAGGTCTAAAAATAGTATATATATATAGAAAAGTACTAATAGAACTAAAGTATTTTATAAGATTTTTTTCTTAAATTTTATAGCTTAACTATAGTGGATTCCTAAGGCTAGAAAACATAGTGTATTTTAGTGGGAATCTACTGTTTTAGAGTAGTGCAAATGTGGGGCTGGTGTATACGTAGGGTATTTGAGTTAGCGCGCTCAGGAATGATGAGACCTGCTAGCATCTTCGATAAGTTATTTGTCGCAATACCGTTTCCAAAACGAGAGTACAGCATTGTGCTCTGTTTCACTGTTAAATGATATATGAAAAGAAACAACAAGTAGATATTATGGAAAAGCTTACCAATGGTGCAATGAAGATTCTGAGCAGGAGTGAAACAACATATGCCCATGAAGGCAACGTAACGTTCTGAGTGCAGACAACAACAAGGCCAAGGACAAAGCTAAGAATAAGCACAATAACATACCACCACCATAGCGTTTCCTTATAGTCTTAATAAAGCGCTAATTTAACTTATAGATGTGTACCCTAGACTATAGAATTATCTTTATTATTTTGTCTTTACTAATTCTACAGCTACCTTGTTAAAGGTACTTCCTTACTAAGTTAACCTACCTACTTTTTAGTACCCCCTATATTTTAGTATACTAAAAATGCCACCTAGCCACCCTATTAACAACTATATCTATAACTTTAAACTACTACTACTTTTTTTTACCTTTATTAAATTACTTTATTTTTTTAGGATACTTTCTTTATATATTAATAGTTTAGTATACTAAAGATAAGATTAATTAAGTAATTAACGCTATTAAAAATAGCTATAGTATTATCTAGGTAGCTTTTATTTATAGTATTTTATAAATAACCCTTTAGTATTAACTAAGAGGTACTTAACTAAGGAAAATAGTATTTAAAGACCTCTAGAGGCTTTTAACTAGCTAAGAGGCTAGCCTAGCTAGTTAAGTAACTACCTAGGTAAACCTTAAGTACTTACTAACTTATTAATAACTAAAGGACTTTATTTATTATATTCTTTAAGCTATAGAGGATACTTAACCTCTAGG